AGCCCATAGCAGCTCAGTATCCAAGTGGGTACCCTAGTAAGGGGAACAGGGACTGTCTCTGATATGAACTCAGTGGCGGGCTCTTTGAGCTCCACCATCCCCGAGGGAGGAGTAGTCTTGTTAGGCTACAGAGGAGGACATTGCAGCCAGTCCTGATGAGACCTGATGAGCTAGGGTCAGATGGAAGGGGAGGAGGACCTCTCCCATCAGTGTACTTAAAGAGGAGCAGGAAGGAGATGAGGGAGTGAGGGTGGGATTGGGAGGGAATGAAGGAAGGGGTTACAGCTGGGATACAAAGTAAATAACCTGTAATAAATATAAAAAAATAAAAATTATATAAAAAATGAAAAAATATATTATACATAACAATGTGTTTGATTAAAACAATAAAAATTGAATGCGAATGGAGTTTTAATCTAATTCAAATTTTCATGCAAACCTCTAATCTGCAGCATGTATATGCTAAACACAAATCCGCCACAGTTGGCCAGGATTTCTTCGAAAAACCATTATCAGCTACAGGTAAAGATAAATATTCCCCATGTATGGAAAGTAGAGATTTGCAGCCAAGTCTCTCCTCCCAGTCAGGTGAGCCAACAGAAAGTCAAATCTGTTTCTTCTTGATGGATAACAAAGGAATTTAAAAGTGACTTAAGCTAGAAGGAAATAGAAAACTGCTTGTCAGTAATTGTGGGTCTTGGTGGGGTAGTATAAACCCAATACACATATACATTAAAATTTGTGGTTAATTCTGTCTTTTCTGAAACTTTAACTTTTAATTATTAAATTTTATTATTAAAATGTTGCACATAGAAAGAAAGTACACACCAAAATTAACTAGACCCAAAGACTCTACAGCTCAATGAACTTTTGTACTGGTACAGATAGATAGCTATTCAGAATGAAAGCTGTGGATATTCACATTGAATTTTATACTTTAAATGTAAAATATATTTTTATACACTTATCCACCTTCAAAATTGAAAAAACCCACAACAGAGTTAGAAAAACAGTTATGAAGATAATGAAACATTACTCCTTGCTCATACCCTAATACTTAGCCTTTCTTGTCCTTTTTACATCTTATACTATACTTAACATATCCATATATTATTGGCTAAATATAACATGTAAGCAAGAACATTTTCTTACGCTATTTTACATACTATTATACATTCTAAGCCCATACATTGTCCTGAAAATTTTGTCATTCCATTTTTTCTTTAGAGCAGTTTTCACACACACACACACACATACACAACCTAAATTTTCATTATCCGTTCCACTGTTGATTGACAACTATGTTGATTCCAATTTTTTGCCATAGTGAAAATATTTCTGTGATAAAGGGTTGAGTATATATTCAGAAGTGAAATATCTGGGTCGCATGATAGTTCTAGTTTTAAATTTTTGAGAAAATTTCAAGCTGATTTCCACAAAGGCTGTGTTAATTTGTGCCCCTACCAACAATGATCAAGAGTTCCTTTCTGTGTTTTCTTCTACATTTGTTTTCAGATTTCTTGGTGATGGCCCTTCTGACCAGGGTGAGGTAGTATCCAAAATAGTTTTCATGGCACCACTTAGTTCTGATCCAGTTCTGAGAGGCTCCATTCTCCTTCTTTGGGTTCTGCTCTGTGGAGGTGCCCTGTTAGACTCCGAAGATGCTTCAGCTCAGGTATGAGAGTTCTACAACCAACCTCTGAAAACATGGGGGAGAAAGGGGCCATTTAGTGGCTCCTGCTCACTGTCTTGTGAACTTTGCTAAGGCTCCTCCTGCCTTGGATCTCTCATCTCAGAGTAAAGAATGCCCTCACAGGACTGCAAAGAATAGTAAATGAAGTGATAGAGACTGCTGAGAACTGTGCAGAACATTGGAGAGTGATCCATGAGCACTTGGAAAGTAGCTAAGTTGAAAAATGATGAAGGAAAAAGAATCTTGTGATGGCTTATTAAATATAAGCAGGAAATATAGTATAACATATTTAATAAATAACCCTTATTTATGGCTTATTATAACTAGAGCTCTTCTTCCTGCTCCCAAAGTTATTTAGACCTGGAATTCAGAATTGTTCCGATCTGTTCATGAGTCATGCTCTCTCAACAAGTACAGAGGAAAAAAACATGTTTCATCATGAATATGGAAAATCAGTCCTGTGCTACTATAGCTTGTGTGAAATATTTGGAAGGAAACAAAACCATGTTTATCTGAAAGTGATAGACAGAGAGAGAGAGAAAGAATAAGAAGAATAAGAGTGAAAACACTTCTTTTTCACCCAAACATGGACAAGAAGCATCTTAGTAACCATGAAAAGGAAAAGGTTTTACAGTTGGATAAAAACATTTTCTGGTAATTCTTAGCCTACTGCTGCTATATTAATTTTTGAGCATGTCCAAGGAAATGAAAGAAAATAAAACCAGTGGCTTGGTATCTATTGTTTTAAAGCAAAAACACCTCTTCTGTCTTTACTTACTGATAAACATTCCGACTTCGACTTCATGCAAGCATCACAACAGTTCCTGTGTCCACTCACTGGTGGTTCTCAGTGCTCACGTAGTGGGAGCTTTTCATAACAGACTTACATTCAAGTCAGACTCAGGTAACAGATGGCCATGCCATATATTTCCCATCAACACTTAGTTATCATGTTCTTAGTATTGAGAGGTTAAACAACTTCCCATCTGTGAAATATGGAATTTTCTTCCATATGTCCTGTGGAGACCACTTTCTCAAGTCTTCATGAAACCACACTAAATGGAACATGTTATTGAAACCATATTAAAGTAAACATCATTTAAGTAATAACAGTGTAAGTTATCACACTTGAGTAACTACTAACTCAAATTAAGAATTTTAAATGTATTTCTTTAAAAAATGGAAATCGTCTCATGAAAAGATACAAATGCTAAAAGCATTTGAAAATAATAAAATAATAACGGCAATCAATCCCCCCTCTAACCAAAATCATAAAACACAACACAACCTATCAAACAACTGGAAACCCACACTAACAATCGCCATTTACACAGTCTTTATTTGTAAGTATTAATTTCCTGTGCTTGGTTGTACTTGTTTAAACTACAGAAGGGAAACCAATTCCTTCTGATTGATCACAGGACACCCACACAACGGAAAGCTGGTGTTCTCGGCTGCTCCTCTCTCTTTCCCTGAGTGAGCAATTCTTACTTGTACTTTGCAGCCTATTTTTCTGTGCTTATATTGAAATAGGCAAAGACTATACAGAATATATAAGGGGATATGTAAGAATGTGTACTATACAGTTTTCCCATTATTCAGCAACTGCATCTTTGAAGTTATGATTGTCAGGTGGATTTTCCTTTACAACATTAATTCAAGTCGAAGAGGTGATTCTCACTCTTCTATGAGAATTAGAATGCCAAGAGAGCTCTAATAGATGTTGGACTGAAAGCACTGGAAGGGCCCCACCCGCAGGGATTCTGCTCCAGTCGGCCTGGGTGGGGCCTTGGCATTCATCTCTCTTACCAACTCTGATGTGTAGTTAGTTAGAACCACTAATTGAAGCAATCCAAACAGGCTGCAAATGCCAGCGGTATGCCTGAGCTGTCCTGGTATGCACCTTCCCCATAAAAGGCCTCTCTGCCAAGGCTACATCTCTGCCGATGGCGGGAAGGGCAGGGAGGTGAATCTGAAGTTTTAAATGTTACCAGACGATTAACTAACAAGAATTAAAAACAAAACAAATCCAACCATCATCTCGGAGACAGTGAGCGATATGACTGTAAAAGTGTTCCTAGGGCCAGGAGTTGAATAAGCCCAGGAGATTTGCCCTTGCCTGCAGAAGGAGGCGTCACAGGAAGCCACACCCAGACCTTCTTTTTCCGGGCCTAGCAGAGTCACCCACCTCCTGGACCTGTGTAAAAAAACTCGTTTGGCATCTCTTGGGTTGGACTGGTTGTCAGCCCTCGCAGCCCTCTCCCTTGGTCTGTCTGGTGAGCATGTCACTGAGAGGCCCTTACATGATCAATTCGCTTTCCACTCTTGATGCGCATTTGAGAAGCATTTGAGAGACTGGAGCCAGAGGCACAAAACTGCCGAGTTATAGTGCTTGTTTCAGCGGAATAACCGGAAACTGAGTGTGGGATTTTGTTCTGAGTTATTTTGAATGTTTGTTTCTTTAAATGATCTTTCTTACACCATTTTATTCTTTCTTAATTTTTCAGACACACTTCTCTGTGTAGTCCTGGCTTCCTTACTATTCTTGATGTTATGTGTTAACTCTCTGAGAAGTCCAAAAATGTATTTTGATTTGAGCTCCTCTCGCACTCCTCCCATAGTTCACTCTCACCTCCCGACTCACCCAGCTTTAACTTTGCTTTTCACATTTGAGTCCAGTTTGTGCCCTCCTACTGTTTTTTTTGGAGTGGAGCCTGCCCTGTAGCATGGTCAAAGTCCCTGCTTGCCTTCTTGAAGTAGTTAGGCAAACGTTTTGAGGGACCAGACAGATTGATTTATTTTTATCTTAGGAATAAAATTGAAGAAATCAAAAGAAAAGCATAAAAGAAAAGAAAGTAAAGCTGCGTTACGCTGAATAAAGGAGTCCAAAGGAAAGAGAAAGAAACCCAAATCATAACTGTAGTCTTTTTTTTTTAATAAAATAATTGCTAGTTACAAGAACTTTACATTTTTAGAATTAAGGTCTTTACCCTCCTAAACATAACCACTAGATGTTTCAAGCCTAATGCAGTGTTTAACAAAATCACAGTAAAGTGAGAATATGCTGGACGGTCTGCAAAGTGCAATGAGGGTCACTCCTAGGGAGGGGAACAGCCAGGTCCTGGGTCACTGGGACATCTGGGCAGGGCGGGCTTCCGCTGGGTCCAACAGCTGGGCCGGGAGTCCTTGCAGCTGCCAAGCCCCGCCCCTTACGTCACGGGGGCGGGGCGGCTGGAGATTGGCGTCGCGCGGAAGCTCTGTGCCCCTGGATCCCGGGAGGCCTGGAGGAGGGAGGAGAGTCGCCTGCTCCGCCCGGTTCAGGCGCCCGCGCTTGCACGCGGAGCTGGGGGAGCGGAGAAGTAGGTTTTGTTCTGCTTCTCAAAGACAGATGACTGGACTGGAAGCATAACTCACCACCCCGCCCTTTGGATCTCTGCTCGGTTCTCTTCTGACACCTCGGGATTCGTGGTGACCATGCTGTGATGAGCGCCCGGGAGGGACAGGTAAGAGAGACTAGGCTAGCCGCCCCCGCCCGACCTCTGCTCACTCTCAGCCCAGCTGTGCTTCGGGCTGATGACTACTTTTCTGCCACTTCTGGTCCGGGACAGGACTTGGAAATAGAGGAGCGATCACAGCATTCGCGGTTATCTGATTTCTACAGGGCAGTATCTTTTTGTTGAAAGCTGTATTCTTTTGTAAGAGATGGATTGTGCACACGCTTGTGCCTTCACACAGGCACACACACGTTTGTCATTCCGTTTCGAAATCCAGTTGTTGAGAGCAGCTTTGACTGTCTGCACCCCTCCCCCTGGTAATGAAAAGCTTTGGTAATTTCTCCCAGCGAACAAACCGCGGGGTAGATTCCTAGGGAGGAAAAGGTATTTTTTGTGTTTGTGTTGGAAATTGTGGTGAAATTGTTTTGAAAGGAATGCTAAAAATAATTAACAAATACAAAGATGTACGCATTCTTCCTGTGTACTCCAACTTTGAAGAACTTACTTGTTATTTGGTGCACGCTTCATCTTATCATAAAACTTGTTTTATTTCACCGCGTCAGTTGAGAAAGATGCGGGCTAGTCAACGAATTCCTCCAATCTCGAAAATCAGAAGGCCGATTTGGGACTAGGAATCTGTTCAAAGTATTTTCATTCGGGTATTTAGGATAAGACTACTAAAACCTTCTGGCCTTGTTTCAAGAGAGCTGTTCACATGGAAGAAGACAATTCTGTAGGCTCAGAGCAAGCCTTTAAGGCTTATCAATCAACCTTGAAAGATGCGCCAAGGAGGATAGGGGCTTCTGGCCAATGTTACTGTATCCAAGTTGAAATTGCACTAGGGCCAGCTTGTATGAAAAGTGCGCGCGCGCACACACACACACACACACACACACACACGCACGCACACACACCTGCTGCTTTCTTAAGAGCAAAAATGAGGCACATGAACTTTGTATCAGAATTCTTAGCTCAGTGTCCTGCATAAGCCCCAACTGCAGTCCACCCCCCAAAAATAATAAGGAATTCTTACGGATTTTTAGTCTCACTCAGGTGTACCTTATAGACCGCTATCCTAATTGTATATATCCAAATGTGATCAAACTGTTGAAAGAACTTAACAACCATTAGTTTATTTAACCTAACATCCTTTGTATGTGTGTGGGGGGGAATAAAAGGAAAGGTAAGCAATCTGAAATAGGATGTGGAGAATTTTCGACCTTCCTGTAACAAAGACTGAGTAATTCTCATACTCTGCGAGTAAATAACTGATACGGTGTGTTAATTTTCAGCAAATGGAGGGAAAATGCTTGGAATTTGACTATAATGGATTATAGGAATGGTGACTGGTCTATTGGACAATCACAGATTTGAGAATCAATTTTAAAAGAATTTTTAAAAATGTTCACATATTAGAGCCTTCATTCATTCCATGTTTTACTTGCTGGCTGATTAAGGTGGAAATCTCTGCTTCCCACCTCCCATGACTTTTTTATTTTATTTTTTTATTTTTAAGCACAAGCAATATTATTGAGGAATCCTGAAGAATACATGTAACAGGTCACCAGCACTAAGCAAGGAGAGTTTTTAACCTCTGGAACAACGTGCTGGATGCGAGCCACACATGGTTTATAAATAGAGCCCAGAGCAGCTTTCCTGGGTTCCCCTCCCCACGTTCACCCCCCAGCCTAGCTCAGAAACAATTATATTAAGCACGTGCTATATATAATAAGGAAGACTGTGGGAATGCTGCAAGACAGGGCTGGGATGGTGCCGCCTATGTGTTCTCCATTCCCAGACAAGCTATTTTTATAAAGAGATCAGTTGTGTTTTTCCCGACAACTAAACTCTATTTACTAGTATAGAAAGTATAAATTTAATGCCACAAAATGAAATCTGTGGCATTACCACCTATCATCTCCTCACCTAACACAAGAACTACTGACATTTGGATTATTTCTTGTCAGTAAGTTAGTTTCTGTATAGGATTTTTTTTTTTTTTAAATTCTAGAAGTACGATACCATTTTGCAACTTTTGTTTACATCTTTTCTGTCAAGGACATCCTTCCATGTCCCTGAGTAGTCTTCCCGATATCCTCACATGTTTTGACTTGCTTTCCCCAGTTGGTGTGTGCACATGAGGGCTTATTACTCTGCTGAAATTCTTTGAAATTTTGGGGATGTTTCCACATGTTTCCAAATGTAGACACTCCAATTTTTATTTTTCTTTATAATCCGCCAATTTCCATTTACTTTGTTCAGATGTATTTTATTGTTTCTTGTGAATGAGTGTTTTACCTGCTTGTAGGTATATGCGTCAGGCGCTTGTCTAGTGTCTGGAGAGGCCCCCGGCTTCCCTGGGACAGGAGTTACATACAATTGTGAGCCACCATGTGGGCACTGGGAATTGAACCCTGGTCCAAGGTTAAGAACAACAAGTGCTCTTAACCTCTGAGCTAATTCTCCAGCCTGATGTTTACTTTTCATTAAGGATCATTTTTATAGGGTTTGAATCTATCCCTGTCTTAGTCTTTAGGGTTGCTAAAACAAATTAGTGTAAACTGGATAGCTTGTTTAAAGAAAAACACAGTGATTCACTTCTCCAAGCCCAAAAGGTCGGGAGGCCTGAGGTCTTGGTGCTGATAGATAAAAAGGTACTTGTTTACCCTGAGCCAAGCTGTGTGGGAGCGTGGTGGTCCCAATGCCCAGTCGGATTAAGTATGGTTTTGCAGCTTCAGTTGGTCATGGTCAGTATGAATGGGCTGAGGGCAGGGATGTGTGCTGAAGACATGGCATTGTAAGGGTATAGTTATGGTAATAGGCAGAAGACAGTGCCGAACTCACAGGTCCACTCGGGGAACAGGGGAATATGGCTCACAGAGAGTTAAGATATTGCTCTCCTCAGACGCATGTGCTGCCCTTGTCACAAAGGTGCCCTCAGAGATGCTTTGGGAAGTGGCCCTTTCCTCAGGTCATTATGGGAAAACTCCTCTAAGGCTCATTACTCCATTTTCCTGGGAGTCTCTTCCTTTTGTCCTCCTCCAGTGTTGCTCTCATACTTCTTGTGAGAAAAATCTAAATTTTTGTACCATATTACAGTCTTCTCGAATATCATTTATGGTTTCCTATGTCTTCCAAACTAAGCATAAACTCTTCATCTCAATACTTCAGACTTCACTCTGGTCCTCCTGTCTTTATCTCCGTTTTTATGTCCCATCATTCTGTAATTTGTGCTGAATGGAATTCTAGCTGTATGGAACTGTTCAGAGTTACCCAAGTGTTTCCAACCTTCCTCTTTTATAACTTTGCTTTTTGGAGATCTATTATTCCTTCTGGGATTCTTAGCTTCTGCCCAGGCTCTCTTAAAATGTTCTTTTCTGGGAAGCTTCTCTCCTTCCTTTCTATCCTCAAGCCTCATACAGTGATTTTTCTTTTTCTTTTTTTTTTTTACATGTATTTATGCATTTTTATTTTTATTTTTTAATTTTATATTTTTCTTATCAGTTACATTTTATTAACTCTGTATCCCAGCTGTATCCCGCTCCCTCATTCCCTCCCAAGTCCTCCCTCCCTCCCTCATCTCCACCGTGCCCCTTTCCAAGTCCACTGATGGGGGGGGGGACTCCTCCCCATTCATCTGATCCTGTTTTATCAGGTATCTTCAGGACTGGCTGAAAAGCCCTCCTCTGTGGCCTAACAGGACTGCTCCTCCCTTGGGGGGTGGGGAGGTCAAAGAGCCAGCCATTGAGTTCCTGTTAGAAATAGTCTTTGTTCCCCTTACTATGGGAAACCAATTGGTTACTGAGCTACCACAGGCTACATCTGAGCAGAGGTTCTAGGTTATATCCATACATGGTCCTTGGTTGAATGTCAGTCTCAGAAAAGACCCTGTGCCCAGATATATTTGGTCCTTGTGGAACTCCTATCCTTTCCCTATCATACTAACTCCCCTTCTTTCATATGATTCCCTGTACTCTGCCGAAGGTTTGGTTATGAGTCTTTGTATCTGCTTTGAAAACACTGCTAGTTAGAGTCTTTCAGATGCCTTCAGTAGACTCCTGTCATATGTTCAATGCACATCCCATCTGTCTTTCTAAACGAGGATTGATCATCTTACCCCATGTCCGCTCTCTTGATTATCTTTTTTAGGTGTATAGCTTTCATTATGTTTATCATATCTTATAGGTCTATATAAGTGACTATATACCACATACAGTGATTTTTCATGGGACTTTTTGTTTCCCTAAATTCACACATTATGTGATTTCCCTAATTTGATCTTTAAAACTCGAATTGGATATTTTTACCTGATTCTAGGGTTCTTTTATTCACCACCAAACAATGTGATACCTAAGACAAGGTCAAATAAATGAACCAGAGAAGGTCAGGGAAGATTTTTTTGTCTGTTTTGTGGCTGGCTGATTTCTGATTTATAGTGAGAGTACAGAAAAAAAAAAAAAAAAAAAACAACAAAAACCACTTTAATGAATGAGTTAATAACAGCGGGCTAGACATGGTGGGCTATTTAGTCATGATTTGAAAACCGTGAGAAGTATTTCATTTAACAGTCTTGGAAACCAAGGCTCAGAAAGGTTAGTGCTTGTAATAAGTGGCCAGTGGTCAGTCTGTGGTAAGAGCTTGTGTTCTTTCTTGCAGATGCATTTGATGCTGTTTGAACACAGCTGATGACAGTGTCAGCATTGATTCAAGGTCAGTGTGCTGACTCTTAGGACTCCCTTATTTAATGTCATGAATATGGCTGAAGGTGGCTGATCTTTTCTTCTTCAAGCATTTTTAGATACCCAATGCAACTTTCTTTCTTGGAGTCTCACCTTAGAATGAACTTTTTTTTTTTTTAATTGCACATCAATTCTTAACATCCCAGCATCTCTAGTATTTGTAATGGGATGAGGACAGTAGAAGCGTTCAGACTCTGAGATAAATATTAGATATACACACATAGCACATGCAGTAAAAACGGAGAGAGGAGAGCATTGATGAATTATAGCTGGACACATAGCTTTGTTTGATCACCAAAAAAGGCCTCTGATACTTCTGGCTCTATGCCATCAAATCTGTTGCTCTTGTTGACTTCGTTTTTGTTTGTGGTCATAAGTTGACCCATTTATTGTAGACTAGGGACTATAGCACTTCTGCTGGTCTTCTGGTTCCCTTTGCTTTTCTGGTGGCAGGCTTGACTGTGATAGCAAAGGTCCTATCACCCATCACTTTCACAGATGCCTGTGCCCCCCCCCTTTTTTTTTTTTTTTTTTTTTTGATCTTGTAATAATAGAAGCAACTACGCTTGGCTTACTGTTTGGTTTCTTTTTTCTTTCTTTCTTTCTTTTTTTTTTTTCAGGAAACCCTTCAGCAGGTTTCATATTTACCAATGATTCCAAACTTGTTGGTGCATATAGCGCTGTCATTGTGACCTAGGCTCAAGCCTGGAGAGTTTGCTTTCTTCTTTTTCATATCGTTTACAATTTAGACCTGTCCGTTATTAGTATTACATGCCACAATTGTCATGCTTAGCTTATGGGCCCCAGAGCCAATTGCAATATCTATGCTGAGACAACTTGAATAATTGGCATTTATAATCCAATCTTCCACAACAGTGCATCGTGTATTGAAGCCATTTTTAGTCATTAAGAAACAATGGTGATCCATGTAATTTTATTACAGACTTAAGGGCAGCTGATAAGGTCTTAGGAATTAAGATTTTCATCCACTGTACTGAAATGAGTGAAGAGATGCCTGTCTTTTTCTTTTTTCTTTTCTTTTTTTTTTTTTTTTTGTCTTTTTCATTACATATCCAGGAATGCCATTTACCTTAAAGGCAAAAATTGGAGATTGATGTACTTATGTGATTTATATGCAATAAATATATATGTTTGTGCGTGTGTATTAATCTGTGGAAGACTTTTAGAAAACATTTTTTTTGGAGACTTAATAATTTTCTTTTTAGCTACAACAATACTTCCTTATTTACTCTTTTTTTTTTCTTTCGTCATTCCTCAACCTATTTTCCTTTGTAGAGCAAATACTGTTATGTTTGCTCATACAAAAATAATATTTCTGGCACATAAGGAAAATATTGTGACTGGTTATTTTAAGAATAATGTACACAGGGTGGAAATGTCTAGCTGCATTAAAAACAATATTGGATAATAATCTGTGAGGATGATATAAATTAAAAGGGGGACTTTCCATGTAGACTTGAATTGTCAAATTATGTTTTTCAGTGTGGTCTCTAGACCTGGGAAATTGGTATCAGTTCAGCTTGTTAGAAATAAGCTTTCTTAGCCCATAACTTCAGACCTCCTGAGTTGGAAAAAGGACAGCCTGTGCCTGGCATGGAGAAACTGAGCCTGTATTTACTAAGCTCGCCCTGAGATTCTGTTTAGGGATAACTCAGCGAACTAGGCTTAGGGGAGATTCACAGGTGAGCAGGCCAGCTTATCCACCGGGCTATGACAGGCAGGTCTGGCCTCCTCTAAAAAAAAGACCTTAAGAAAGAAAATTCCACCCACTTTCCTGTGTCACTTCTTCTGTGGAGGGAGTGGAGGAAGCCTTGATTGAATGTGGATTGTTGATTACTGGCACAACCATGGCAAGGACCAATGCCTCAGACTCACAGGCATGGCAACGCATCCCCCACACTGGTCAGGCTGGGAACTGGCAAAGGCTTCCCCCGGTCCCAATGTGAATCTTGACGACATGTGTTGCCGGTGTATGTTGACAAAGTCTGATGAGTGTTTACAAACTCAGCGTGTGCAGAAACTAGGAGCTGCCCTTTCTGCACATTGGATATTTACAGCTGGAGATTGCCGGCCTACAGAGACCCCCTACTGAGTGTAGCTAACTCCTCAGGCTGGGCTGTGTGTCATAAACACGCTGAGGTTCAGGGTGGCTTTGTCGTTGATGTCACACCGTCAGGCACCCGACCCTAGCTTTTCCGTATGCATATCTATTCTTTCTTCGTCCGTATTCAGGCCAAGGTGCCAAGCCTTGCAGGTGGCAGTACTAAGACCTTTGTGTTTCTACTGAGCTGACCAGAAACACCACTAATCTAAAATCCCCGAATTCATAAAGCGGTCAGAGTACAGTGTCTAATTCTTAAAGCCCATGTTGGCTAGTTTTATCCTGTTACGTTCCTGACAGCAGATTCCTGTTTGAAACAGAAGTAAGCTAAATGTTGTTGTGCTTGATAATTAGGACATTCCTACTGAATAGAATTTAGCACGGAAGCTTCTTTAAATCGATCTGATATAATGCTAAGCATTGACATACACCGTTTAGGGACTTGAGTGTGAATGTTAGATTTGACTACCGAGGCCGCATGCCTGTCATACACTTAATGAGATTTTTCTTAAAAAGGAAAAATAAAACAAAAACTTAGCTGGGCAGCGGTGACACACACCTTTAACCCCAGCACTCTGGAGGCAGAAGCAGCTAGACCTCTGAGTTCAAGGCCAGCCTGGGCTATAGAGCCAGGACAGCCAGGGCAGTCCCTGTCTCAAAAAACTTTAAGAAACCCTATCTCAAAAAAACCAAAAAGCCCAAACACCACCACCTTATCACGGAAAAAACAAAACAAAACAAAACAAAACAAAACAAAAAAAAAAAACCCAAAAACCAACCAACCAAACAAACAAAAAAACCCAAAACTTAAATTATTACATCTGTCTCCTACACAACATCCTATAATTTAAATGTGGAAGAATTTTATTAACTTCTGGTTATTCGATGCTCCATTTAAGGAGGTTTCTAAATTACAAGAAATAATATACTTGTGATCAGAGTTAATTTTAGTCTTTAAAGATAAAAATGGAGGCCTGTTTTCTGAATCAGGAATAAACTTCGTAAAAATAGAGGTCATCATAAAGACACTTAAAAAATAAAACTTGATTATAATAACCTTAAAGTTAACCAGTGTTTTAAAAATATTTCATTATAGATTTTATATAGAATATCACTTCTCTGTGCTTTTTCAGGCTCTTCGGAAATATCTTCCTCATGTAAATATTTAAATCATAAATGAATAATTTATGATATGGACTTTTATAAGATGAGTTTTAAAGCAGACTAGTGTGATGACAGTAGAACATTTCCTATTGAAACAGTGAGGTGGATCCCACAAATGAGCTCAAACGTTATATAGGCTCATGTCTAAATAAAACCTATTTTGTGGTGCAATATTCACATCACATTAGTAGCCACAGTAAATCTCTCATTAAAATTGACATAAGTAATTTGATGGCATAGCTATGAATAAAGACATACGTAAGAATAATAAGAGTTCACTTAGATACGTGGCCTCTGAGGATGAACCTGGGACGAGCAGCTACTTACTCGGTGACTTTAAGTAAAGGCAGTCTCTCTGAATCTCATTTTTCTTTGATTTAAAATGAAATATTCTGTTGGCTATTTAAGATTATTTCCACCTGTAAGTATTGAGTTTTCGAGTTTCCAAGCCTTGCCATCCTAAGAAAAAAAGATGCATTTATTTTTATGTTTGTGTGCGGGTGTGCTTGTGTGTGTGTGTGTCTGTGTGTCTGCGTGTCTGCATGAGCATATGTATTTCATGTGCATACAGCCTCCTGTGGAAGAGCCTGGAACTGGATCTGTGGGTGTTGAGTGCCCAGTGAGGGTGACAGTACTGGAATCAAACCCAGGTTCTTTGCAGGAGCAGTACGTGCTCTTAACTCTGAGCCATCTCTCTGGCAGTAAGCCTTACTGTCTTTAAGATGCTTTTTGTGAATGGCAGACATGCCAGTCTTTAACACGTGATAAGCCTTCCTCTTCTAGAACTACCATTTATTGGTCTTTTATATTCAGATAGCTTGCATGCATTCTTATGAATGCCTAATAACAACCTTACAGGATAGGTATTTTTTAATTGCTCTTTATCTTTTACAGAGAAACTGAGGGTTGTAAGAAATCCTGCTGGGGCTGAGTGATGGAGTGTGGATTTGAACAATTAATCAGTTGTTTAGCTGATTAACAACAAAAAAAAAAATCCATTCTTTACATTCTGTCACTCATACCTCTTAAACAAAAGGATGGTTTGCTTTGATCCTGTGTTTCTCAGCAGCGGCATTCTTGATTTGGGAGCTAGTTTTTTTTTTTGTTGTTGTTGTTTTTGTTTGGTTTGGTTTTGGTTTGTTTGTTTTTGTGAGAGACTATTTTGTGTATGTGAATATTCTTCATATTCAACAGCCTCCCTTGCCTGTGACATCCATAACAAAAAGTGTCATGTTTCCAGATACTGCCTAACCTGGCTCCATTTACATAATCAGTAACCGAAAGCTGAATAGAACTGCCTACCTTGGCAAAGGTGAGCTGGCTTTAGGTCATTTTAAGGATCGGGATGAAATTGACCAAACAGATCTCTGGCAAAGGACCTGCTCATTCATTCAGTACTTGCCGTAATTGATTAGCCTTCATTCTCTTAAAGTTTGCTTTGCTTGAAGAGAATTATTGCCAAGATGCATAATATAACTCCTAAAACCTGAGAGACAGTAGTTAATGTATTTAAAAATAGTCTTGGGTACCTGCTCTATGCCAGGCCTTGTTGGGTTACTGTTAACACAACGAGATGGCTGTATAGGAGATGTTGATAGGCAAACAGTGTTAGCACATTGATCTTTATCCTTCTAATAATATTTTTAATACTGTCTTCATAACCACAGTCCAGGGTGTTTACCACA